GGGGGGGCAAATGGTGTTAAGTTAGAGCCCAGTGTTACAAACCCTAACTTAGCAGCCACTTTTGAAAAAAGGACCAAAAGCCATGAAAATCAGAAAGCGATCTAAAGGTGTGATGAAGGATGCAGGAAGGTTTAAATCCTGCGGGCCCTGCCATTTCCAAAGACAGCAGTCCTTCTGGACCGAGGACTCTGACCCTGGGGACGGTGGGGTGTGCTGCCCCAGCCTCTGCCAGGGGGTCTCAGCTCAGCAACTGGCCAAGCGGGAAACTTTCAGAATCACCGCAAGGCAAGCTGTGCTCTCAGACGGGGATCCTGCGGAGTTGTTTGCTAACAGCAGGCTTCCTGGGGAAACGGACGCGTGGACGCGGAGGTGTCCCTCCCCCCAACCCGCTACTTCACGGTGCTTCTCCCGAGCAGGCACTAAGCCAATGGCCTCATCAGACATCAACACTGTGGTTCAAGAGCACAGACACCGGATTCTTCCCTGGTGTGTAAATCCACACCCCTTTCCGACCTGGTATTTGGGGGGTGGAGGGGTAGTGGGTGGTCCAGTCCCAGACCCTGCAAACGTGGCCCTGTCGCCCCGTCCCAGGCCACACTCATCCCCTCCGAGGGGACGTGCTGCCTGAGCCCCCAGGTCTGGCTCGGGTGCAGCACAGAGAGGAAGTCAGCGCTCCCTGAGGAGTGGAGTCTGTGAGGGTGGAATCTTCAGAAAGGAAAAACGTGGGAGCATAGAGGAAAATGTTATTTGAAAGAACCTTTAGAAAGACTCCCAAACGGCACTGAGCATGACAGAGAGAGAGAGAGAGAGAGAGAGAGAGAGAGAGAGAGAGAGAGAGAACCTTCACTAAGAGCCTCATCCGGCAGAGCTGGAACCGAGGTCCAGAGTCAGACCTGCCCATTTGGAAGGAAGATCCCTCTTCTCCCTCCACGGGGTGGGTGGCCTCCGTGCCACTGCCCAGTGACTGCCCCGCTTGAGGACACAGAGGCCCGGACACCGGCCTCACTGTGCTACAGTCCTAGAGACGGCAGGTCAGCCGCCTGCCCTGGCCTCCCAGGGGGCCTCCCGGAGCAGAGAGAGCCCGACCAGGCGTGTGCATCCCCCAGAGCACGGAGAGCCTGTCCCACGTCCTCCCCGGCCCCGAGCCAGGCGTGTGCACACACACACCTGCGGGGTGGACACGAGCCCTGGGGTGCGGGGCTCCCCACACGGGGGCGGCCAAGACTGCGCCCTGACAGTCTCCGCAGAGAGCTCAGCTCAGGGTGTGTGCTTTCTTCTCTTTAACAAAGTAATTTGTCTAATCAAAGCAGCTACAGCCACTAGAACCTTCTCCTTTGTTAAACCGACTCTTCCAACTGTGACTTCGAAAATCCAGGGGAAGCTCCTGGCCCAGCTGTGCTGCCCCTCACGAAACAAGGCTCTCCTGCTGTTTGTGAAATCACGCTGGATGAGCTAAAAAGATCTTAGTGCTGAGGAGAGGGAGGCAAGTCAGGAAGAAGGGGTTGCAGGGGAGAGAGTACGGGCAGGAGAAACTCCCCAGAATCTGGGGCCATTACTGGTAGCTTCCTTTCTGAGCTGCCTCCAGACCCTGGTCCCTGCCCGTCGGTTCCCAGCCCGATGGATCACGGGGCACCGCAGACACAGGGAAGGGGGCCTGTGAGGCTGGCAGGCACAGAGGCCCCGGGGTCATGGCGTATGGCACAGAGGCTCCCGGGAAAGGGACACATGGTGAGGGACGGGCCTGCGGCTAAGGTCGGGGCGCAGGACGGGAGGGCTCTGGCCCCGACTCCCAAAGAGCACGTGCAAAATCCCTGTGTTCAGCGGACAGAAGGGAGCCCGGGGAGGGGGAAGGGAGAAGAAGGGGGCGCCCTGCCCACAGATTCCTCTGGAAGGCTGGAGAGGCCCCCCAGCATGCACCCTGTCCCACCGCTGGAAGGACAGGGGCTCCCACCTGGCATCCTTGTTTCTCTACCTCTGTCCTACCTGCCATTACAGACCTTTCCTGGGGCCCCTTGTGTGTGTGTGGGGGGGGCGGCCTGGGGAACGTGACATGTCACCTGACCTTTCAGACTCCCCCTGGCCCCTAGATGGACAGCAGCAGGACCGGAGACCCCCTCCACCCCTCCCCCAACCTCGGGACGGCCCACCCCCCACCTGTCCCTTCCCCCGACAGCAGGACCACTGCCTGCCTGCCCCTACCTTGCCCATTCTTTGAGCTCCCTGTGGGACAGTGAGTGTCCCTCCTGAAGGGTCACCACTGCGGTGACCCGCTGGCCCCATGTCATGTCTGGAACTCCAATCACAGCCACATCTGTGGACAGAAGAGCAGGGAGGGACGCCTTGGAAATGCCACGATGGCTAACACGGGCCCGGGACACGCCTGGGATGGGGGCCCTGAAGCAAGAGCCCGGGAAAAGCTCCACTTAGCAGCCACCTGGAAGGGGCGTGGGGTCAGCACGGGGTCACCCTGCTGGGAATGGGGGGGGCAGGTCCCCAATGGCCCTTGGATGGAGCTCAGGGTGGGGGTCAGCTTTCCCATGTCTCTGCCTTCCCTGCACGGCCCCAGGAAACAGTCACTAAGAGGACTGGGCACAACGACAAGTCCAGAGTGGGTCACGTTGAGGAGCCTCTGCCGTCCTCAGGGTCCTCACAACCTGTGACCCGAGGTCAGGAGCTTCCTGGACCCGCAACCTCCGGTGCCTCTGGACACAGCTCCAGATGCCCACGCCTCTGCTCCAGCCCTCCCTGGGGCCGTGCTCCTGAGCACAGGGGCTGTGTGAGGTGGCGCGGGAGGAGGTGGCGCGGGATGAGGTGGGCGGGCCCCAGCAGACGTGGGGGCGGGGCGTGGGGGCGCCGTGGACCTGTGATGCTGGGGTGCGCCAGCAGGAGCCGCTCCACCTCCAGGGCGCTGATCTTGTAGCCGCCGCTCTTGATGACGTCTACGGACGTGCGACCCCGGATCCAGTACCTGCCGTCCTTGAACACAGCTGTGTCTCCTGAGGGAAGGGGCTCTGGTCACCAGCAGGCACGCGTGTTTACAGGTGCACACGCGCGGCTGGGTGCCCGTGTCTGGGAGCAGTACCCCCCCCTCCCCGCCACGTGGTGACCCCGTGGGACGGTGGTGGATGCGGGGTCTCAGGGCAAGGCGGCAAAGCCCGAGTTCCAACGGCTGTGACCTCAGCCTGAGGTCCCCACTTAGACAGCAGTGTCCCAGAAGGGCTGATGGAGACCACCCGCCCGTAGAGACCAGGGCTCAGAGGCACGGTGGCTGGTGCCCTCTCCACCCAGCTCGGTCTCTTGCTGCCCCTTCTCAGGCCCGTGACAACAGAGGCAGCGAGGCCCAGCTGCCTCGGCCATCCCACCGCGGGGTCCTGGTCCCAGCCGGGTCCCGGCGCGGCCAGTCCCGCCGCAGCTGCCTTTCGTCTGTGGGGTCTCCTGGGCTGTGCACAGTCACACGGGGTCTCTGGCAGCAGAAAGTTCTCCTGCTCCCCCACCCCGACTTCGTGGTCCCCCATCCCGCTTCCCCCGGCGGTCCTCTCTTGGGCAGCACTGGGCAGTATGACGCTCGCCAGCATCCTAGCGCGAGCAGGCGGGTGGCGTGGGGACAGAGAGTGCCAGCCCAGGACGTGAGGGCCCGGAGGAGGCGGGCGTGTGTCTGTGCGCCGACGCGTGTGAATACGTGTGGGCACGTGCACGTGGGGATGCCCCCCCCCGCCCCAGCCCTCTGAGGACAGCGCTGGCACGCCCTGCCGACGACCGCACAGCCCGCGCTCCGTGCCGGGTTCCTGGCTCGAATAAATCATAAGTGTTTCACTAGGAGTCACGTGGCCCGTGCGGGAGGGCACCATCCATCATTCTGCACCCCGCCCCGAGCTGCCGCAGCGCAGGGCGTGATCCGGTCTCCTAAACCAGACGGAAGCCTGTGGGCAGCCGGGCGGCCGGCTGGCTCACGATGGCGCGCGAAGGCCGGGCTTCGAGAGCACAGGGCCACGGGCGTGACGGGCTCTCCCCCGCCGACAGGAAGCAGAAGAAGCCAAAGGCTTGGCAAGTGCAGCTGGCAAGGGCGTCGTGGCCCCAGGACAGCTGGCTGGGGGGCTGGCTGGCCAGCAGGGAAGGGGCCCGAGTGTGGAGGCGCACGGGGGTGGGTGCAGTCGGTCTTGGGTCCTGCAAGGCCCGCCGTGCCCCCCATTCCTGGGGTGCAGCCCCAGCCCTGGCTGTACCCCTTCCCCACTGGATGGCTGTGTGGTCTCCTGAGAGCTTTCTGACCGCCGGCCACCTGCTCTTTAAATACCCCAAACGGCCCTAGTCCAAGCAGTAACTGCTTCCTGCTGCTGGAGGGGACACCACACTGGCACTCAGGTCCTCCGGCAGTTTTCGTGGGCCAGCCCCCACCATCTCTACTTGCCCAGAGACCCAGCGGCTCGAGCGACCCTGCCCTGGGCTCAGGCTCCTGTCCCTGCTGAAGACGCCCCATGTGCCCACACCGGGGCGGGTGACGCTGTGCGCCAGGCCGCCTGCCCTGCCATACTGCAGGGAAAGGAGGCCCAGGGCTCTGGCTCGCTGCCCTGGACAGGGGAGG